TCTCCCAGGCAGCTGCAACCCACGATGGACTTAGGCTAGAATCTTTCCGGTAAGCGCACCTTGGGGTGCTTACAAACATCATTAGAAATGGGCTAGACCAGGTGCGAGAATTAGCCTGTAAGGGCTAGAGTTCATGGGTCAAGCAGTTCTTTAAATGAATACAGTTTGTGTGTTGTTATTTCGGGCATAAGCTAGCCAAGCGGCCGGGGTGTTGGGGACGCAGCCCCGCCGCTCTTATTTCAACACTATAAATTCATTATTTATAGCAATTTTGTGTATATAGGAACAATTCACTGTTGGCAATATAATGAGTTTCCTATATTGGTCCTATATAATATTTTTGCTGTAGATTATATGTATAAAGTATTCAGGGAAATTTGTGCAAAAAAAAGGCCACAAAAAAAGAAAAGTATACTTCAAAAACATTGTAAAATAGCTAAATAGTGCCTGCTTGAGAACTGAGATCTGCTGCATGCGAAGAAGAAAGTGACTAACAAAGACCATTTGCCTTCCCAAATCCTTCTCTGCAAAGCCAGGGGCTATTAGTGAGCTTCATCTTTGGGGTCAACACATTCAAATCAGAGTATAGTCAATCACTGAGCTTGACTGCCTCTTCACTAACCATTGTTCTTTGTACATGACTTACAGGGCAGCTAAATATTTCTACATAAATAAACAAAAGTAAAACTGAGAGAAAAACATGTATGCTTTTCAGAGAGAACTCGAGACAATTTTGTGTCCACATACTTTATCTATCACCAATGAAACCTGCAACACCAATGAAGCAAGTTCATGATTCAATCTCAAAATACATTAGTTTTAAGTTTGTTCAAAGTATTTTACCTAGCTCCACATTGTGCGTACTTTCAAAAACTACTTTCTTCTTCTTAGATTCTGTATATAACATTTTAAATGAGCAATTACAGCTTCAGTTGCTCTTGAATAAACAAGTTATCTGTACATTGCAAAATTTCACTAATCATTACGATTTTGGCATATTCTGTCAAGACTAATCCCTAAATCCACTGGCATTCTACTGGCATTCAGTAGACTACTTTTGCATTCTCTGGCCGCACAGACACCAGGGAAGACCAAGACCAAGAGAATCCTATTGAATGGCACTCTGACTAACTTGCACAAGAAATTTCCTCTTTCACTCCAAGGCTCATTTCCAGGCCCAGGACAAGCTATGGCCTAAATTCTCCTCTCCTGAGGGAATGAGCTTCCACCTTTAACTCTGCATAATCAAAGGGTTACATATGTTTGGAGCAGAGTGGTAACTCAGGTTCAAATCTGATAGCATAAAATAGAAAGACACAAGAAATATGTTGCAAGTTAAAGGCTTGCATCAATATTGCCAGACCAAACCCAGAGATCCTGAGAATTTCAATTCACTCTTGGCTTTCCAGGTTTTAATAAAGATTTAACATTTTCAAATTTGATTTTTGACTTTTACATGTTTAGGCAGCAGATAAAGGCAACCTCCTTTGTAGTTTTGCAATGACTTCTCACGTTCTGTAGCTTTAACTGTTTTATATTTGTCATCTATAAAATACACAGCACTAAATTTTTAACATTGATTTACCACAAAATGAAATGACTTAGCATGAGAATCCAGTTACATAACACTTTGATAGGACAAATAGCAGACACCAATAATACTATCCATTAAAGGCCTGTTTTTTTTTCTTTAAAAAAAATAAACTGCCTACATAGAGAACAGAAGGAGAGACAAGGGCAGTAACTTCACGGGACCTATGGCTCCCCAGTATAGTAACTAATAGAACCAATCATCAGCTCTGCCCACTCATGCTCCCCCTTACCTCACATTCTAAATCAAAGTTGTCTGCAATGCCCTTGAGAACTAAAGGAACCCAAAGGTTATGGGTCAAAAGAGTTGGAACAAGGCCCAGCGCTGCTCACTGTCAGTTAACTGTTACCAGTCTGATGTGGCAGTTTCAAGAAAAACTGGGAAGGCAATAAGAAGTGGGGAGGGTTTCACATGTTCATACAGAATGGATTTCAGTCCATTGCACATAAGAAAATTGCTGGTTTGACTTGCGGCTTTACTCTTTCATTTTCCTTGCTACTCTTTCTCTGTTGAGACTTGTGTCTTGGAACAAAGCTGCTTCGCACTCAATTAGTGGAAGTCCCTTGAAATAGTGAATCTCTTAAGACAAGACTGAGCACTGTAAACCCCGGCCTTGCTGCTAATCTACCTCTCTCAGCTGCATTTCCCCAGGTCCTATGACTGGTTATCTGAGTCAAAATGACCTAAAGAAGGCACAAAGAATTCAACATTATGACATAAGCCATGCCTTTCAGTTAATGTATCAATGAAAAGGAATATACCCAAGAGATGCCCTATCATATTACAAAAGCATTTGTTCAACTATGTTCATAGCAGCATTATTTGTAATAGCCAGAGCCTGGAAACAACCTAGATGCCCTTCAATGGAAGAATGGATGAAGAAAGTGTGGAATATATACATATTAGAGTACTACTCAGTGGTAAAAAATCAATGACTTCTCGAATTTTGCATGCAAATGGATGGAAATAGAAAACACTATCCTGAGTGAGGTAACCCAGACCCTAAAAGATGAACATGGGATGTACTCACTCATAATTGGTTTCTAGCCATAAATAAAGGACATTGAGCCTATAATTCGTGATCCTAGAGAAGCTAAATAAGAAGGTGAACCCAAAGAAAAACATATAGTTACCCTCCTGGATACTGGAAGTAGAAAAGATTGCCGGGCAAAAATTGGGATCTTGGGGGTGGGGTGGGATGGGGGCAAGGGGAAATGGGGAGAAAAAAGTGAGAAGGGGAGGATGGGAAGAGCTTGGGGGAATGGGATGGTTGGGATAAAGGAAGGGTGGTTATGAAAGCAGGAAAGAATATATCTTAATTAAGGGAGCCATTTTAGAGTTGGCAAGAGACTTCACTCTAAAGAGATTCCCAGGTGTCCAGGGAGATATCTCCAGCTAGTTCCTTGGGCAGCTGAGGAGAGGGAACCTGGAATGGCCCTATCCTATAGCCATACTGATGAATATCTTGCATAACACCATAGAACCTTCATCTGGCGGTGGATGGAGATAGAGACAGAGACCCACATTGGAGCACCGGACTGAGCTCCCAAGGTCCAAATGAGGAGCAGAAGGAGGGAGAACATGAGCAAAGAAGTCAGGACCACGAGGGGTGCACCCACCCACTGAGACGGTGGGGCTGATCTACTGGGAGCTCACCAAGGCCAGCTGGACTGGGACTGAAAAAAAGCATGGGATAAAACCGGACTCTCTGAACATGGCGAACAATGAGGGCTGATGAGAAGCCAAGGACAATGGCACTGGGTTTTGATCCTATTGCATGTACTGGCTTTGTGGGAGCCTAGCCTGTTTGGATGCTCACCTTCCTAGACCTGGATGGATGGGGGAGGACCTTGGACTTCCCACAGGGCAGGGAACCCTGACTGCTCTTCAGACTAGAAAGGGAAGGGGAGAGGATTGGGGGGAGGGGGAGGGAAATTGGAGCCTGGGAGGAGGTGGAAATTTTTTTCAATAAAAAAAAGGGAGGAGCAAGTTGATACTGAAAAATGAGAATGTGTACTTGTTTCTGACAGCATGAAGTACACTTTATAGCCAGTTGCTTCTTTAAATCTATGAGCTGGTGAATCACAACACTGCTCAAATATAACCAAATGCACTCATCTCAGTCAAGCACTCCCTGCCCAAGAAAGGAGGGTAAAGAGACTGTTCAGCTTGCCTCATTTCATGAAAATGCCAAACTTTTTCAAAAGTTCTCAAGGTTTCCATGTCTAAAATCAGCTCAAGTTGCTAAGCATGGACAATTAATTTCAATAATCCAATTTCAAGCAGCAATGGTACGACAGCAACAGACAACTTTACTCTGCATGTATTTCCTCTTGTATTAATTTTGTCTGAAGAAAAAAGAAAACATACTCACTGAGGTTGTGGTTGTCCTTTTTCTGTCTCTCTTTCGCCAAAGCTCTAGTGTCAGTTTCTGAACAAAAGAAACAGTTGAAACAGAGTTCAGTTCTGCTCTGAAGCCTTTCCCTGCAATGTTCAGAAACACTGGGTAGGAAAAGAGGATTTCCTGTTCTAGAATACTGCAATAATATGCTTGATGTCATATGAAGAAATTTAGGGCAGGAGATGATTCAGTAAAAGACAATGGCAAAGTCTTGAAGACCTGGAGAAGCAAAAACCTTATCTGTTTTTATAGCTTTTCATTTTAAAGTCATGTGGTCAATTATCAGACTTATGGTCTCAGGCTCTTCACCTGGAAAATTGAATACATTACAACAGCTACCTGATAAACAATGGAAGGGTTTTATAGGCATGTTGCATGAAAACGCTAAACTATTCAGTAATGTCTATCATTATTTCTATATTTTTGAGATTCAGAAATTAACTTTGTGTCATCCAAAATATTTATGATTGCTACGTCAAAGGAATTGAAACTAGCTATATATCTCAGATGTGCATGTCAAAAACATCTTAGCACTCAGGAAATAACAAAGTTCGCTGCAGGCTGGACTTGATGGCCATCGACTCTGAAAAGTGTCCAAAATAATTCTGACTCCATGGTCTTCATAACATGGGTAGCTCCTTCACCATTATCAGCATCCATTGGGATTACGATACCAATAGAATGTTAAGGGAATGTCCTTGGTGGCTCTAAGAGCTACTTCTATTGTGCTGTCTATAGGACCTTCTGGAGAGGTGCACGCAGTTACAAAGCAAGACTGTTTGTCAATTTACAGCATTTTCACACCCCGGGCTAATACCAGCTTTGGAATGTATTGTCTAGCCTAGTCACACGTCACAGACTGTACTCTGCATGGTTTCCAGAGTGACTCATAAGAGACTCTGAGTCACAACAATTGGCTAAGCTTCTCCTGGATCCTTAGGTCAAGAAGATGGAATCAAACTTTTAAAGTTTGAAAGGAGCATATGAGCAGCTCCTAAAATACCAAACCCATTCAACTAAAATGTGAATGATATCAACCTATTGTTTAGTGACATTAAGAAATGATAGATCTACTCTCAACACTTACCTCTCCCTTTTAACTATTTTAACCGTACTTTAAGAAACTATTCAGCATGACACTATGTCATTCACATATATGCAACTCATAAAAAGTTAAAAGGCTAAACTTTTTAAAAATCAGCATTACCTGCAATTTCCTTTTTCATGGGCAAGATGTTTGGACAGGAAGCATTCATTAGATTTGTGTTAACTGGAGAAATTCCCTGCTCATCAGGGTAAACATCCAAAATACTACCAGATAACTTAAAGGAAAAAGAGAAAAGATCAACTAATTAATGCCACTATAGACATACATATATTTATGTATACCTTAAATTCCTCATTTTAAAGTCATCACTTTGTAATGATCATGACAATAGAAATAATTAGTTTTAAACAGAAAATATACATTTACTACTGTAGTGATATTGTGTTTGTGTTTTAACAAATAAAGCTTGCCTAAAAGATCAGAGTGCAGAGCTAAGCCACTAGAGGCCACCTTTAATCCCAACGCCCAAAAGTCACAGGCCTTTAATCCTAGCAAGAGAGGTAGAGACAGGAAGGGATATGGCTGGACAGAGAGGAATATAGGCAGCAGGAGACAGGAGTTCAGTGCAGTCTGAAGTTTGGTGGAGACAGATGCAGTCTAAGTTGCATTCTGAGTTGCAGTCTGCAGTCTGAGGTTGCAGTCTGAGGACAGGATCACACCTTTGGTCTGAGCATTGGTAGAGGTGACAGGTCTTTCTAGGGGCTGGCTACACTGCTTCTCTGATCTTTCAGATTTCATCCCCTAATATCTGACTCTGGGTTTTCATTATCAACAATTAGAAATTGTGATACAGATTACTTTTAAATACATTATGAAATTCATGTGGATAAGATATGCTGAAAATAGTATTTAGATTGCAACAAAAAGAGAGATCAGTTCATGCATGAAAGAAAATTCTGATGAATATTTACAAACCTATGGAGCCTTGAGCCGGATTACGACATGGTTGTAACTTAATACTATTAAAATATCTTTTTGAAAAAGCTGTACACTTCTTGGCAAATCTGGAAGTTTCTTGAAGACTGCAAGTGAAGTAAAATGGCAAAATTTTGGGGAGCTTCAGAATGCTGTCAGTAATTTCAGAATCTGGCCATCAAGAGGGATTTTAGGTTGTTAATGAAATGGGAAACTATGAATCCTTGAAGGCATACTTTCCCCACTGTACACTAATGTTCTAGATTGATATAAATAGCCCACCTGGTAACCAAGAGCATACTAAGACTAGTTTGCTCTTTTAAACATAGGCTCTGTCCAACTGTCAGCTCTGCAAAGCTTGCAGATCTTCTTGAGTACAATTTCTTAGAAACCTAATGTGCTTTAAATACAATTCAAAATTATATTGTTTCATTACTCAAACTGTACGTATCGATCATGCAAAAAGATTCAATTTAAATAATATTCAAATATTAAGTAAATATCCAATATTTCAGGGAACAGTTACATTTACAACATAAGATTTAAAATAATAAAATATTTCTATTTTAAATATCTTTGTTATATTTCTGGGCAGTAAAGCAAAGGTTGAATAAGAAGCAGTTGTTTTCCCTTAAGGCCTATGGAAATATATGTATATGTAATAGGGGATGATTTTATATATATATATATATATATATATATATATATATATATATGTGTGTGTGTGTGTGTGTGTATGTATATGTGTGTGTATAATCAAACACAGCTATGTCAAAATTATTGCAGAGAATATAACTCTCCATTCTACTTATTGTGAAATTCCAGTTCAACCTGAGTTACTATTTCAAGATTTAAAAAATCAATTTTGCAATCGACATGAAGAAATTACTTAGGCTGAAATTAATTTTCAGGGGAACAAGTTGTTTTAGTGTATTAAATAAATGCGTATTTCTAAGTAAAATCAACTACAAAATGAAGTTTAAATGACCTAATACATAAATCTATGTTCCTATCAAGAAGTACATTCTAGCCTGCTTTTGTCTCTACAGCATATATTTTAGTATACTGCTATCTTCATCGTTAACTTTATTAGAAAGCCTCATCTTTAATTTATCCAGCTTATACTTTACTTATAGTCACCTAAATTGATTTTCGCACTGCTCAGGACCAACCCAGGGCCTGAAACATGTTACACACATACATGCTCTATCATGAGCTTCACTCTTGACCCTACAAACCCATTATTTTAAAACGTGTTTTTATTTTACAGATTTTAGATGTGGAGTATTTAAGCACTTATTCTTTTCCAATTTACTCTTTTAGAAACAAACAAAGGTTGACTAAATTAGAAAGATGATGCATGTGACTCTCTGGCAAATATAATTAGGAGGTGTTCCACAATACAGACCATTTCCCCAAGGTGTGCATCATCTCAACAGAGCTTTAAACATACACATTCTCATGGTCGCATTTGAGTAACTTGTTTGTTATGAACCAAGGCGTCTCCACCTGAAGGGTACATTTCCACTGTGCCTTTGAGAAATATAGTGGACGTGCTGAACAAAAAGACAGGGAGTGGAGGGGAAGGAACTCGGGAAAGGGCACTTTGCCTCTGAAGAGCTTGAATTCAGATGGATTTCAATGTAGACTGGGAAATTGCAGAAATGTTAAAGAAGAAAAGGATCTCTAGTCCATGTACTGTAACAATGGAGAGAGAGGCTCCTAACCACCGGGTCCACAGTACCTGCTCAGATAGTACTCGCTGCATTAGCCCATAGAAAGAGAACAGGGTTGCGACAATGAATCTAATCCTGCCAAACTCTAGCTAGGTTATGTCATCCCCTGAACTCGGCTATGGTCTAATTTATGCCTTAAATCCGTACCTTCCCTACTATGCTGTAGGAACTGTTCTGTTTCATGCAAATGGTTATTCACATTTTGAATATCATTAGACAGTTGAGTTTCAAAGTGTGTAACACACTTCAGGTCATCTAAGGAGAATTCTCTCCATAAAAACTTGTGCAAATGCAACGGTAGTAAACACGGAATGCTTGCATAGCCATGGGAAAGCTCTTACAAAGCTAATGTGCTTCTACCTTTGCCAGAGGTTTGCATTACTTCAGTAACAAGGCCCATGTCTTTGTGGGTTGGCAAGCAAATGGACAGGTACTTCGTGAAGATGCTTTTATTCTTGTGAAGAAAAGGCAGGCTGATTTCTCATCAAGGCAATACATTGACATGACAGTGAATGAACATATTGTTACCAAACCAAATAAAAATAAATAATTTATCTTAAAATCCATTTAAAGAGACCAAGAATACATCTTTGTGAGAGGATGTGACTCTCTGGTAGAGAAAGAACATTTCTGAGAAGCTGCTCAGCGATGAGCAGTGAGTGACTATGATGTATGATATCTAGATTTTAGTCACATCTGGATCCAGCCTTCATAAGTGATAGAGCCTTTCAAAGCACTCAGTATTTCTTAGGGGCTAGGGGGTATTCACAGGTCAAAATAGCAAAACACCTAAGGAAAGTGACTATTTTGAGAAAAAATAAATGATTATAAAAATGGCCAATAACACAACTAAGAATTAAGTATAAAGTAAAAGTGAATGAGTTTTTTAAACATGAGTGAAAATAATTATACATACCTTTTTATCTCAACCTTGAGGCTACGAGCATATGAAACTATTATAATAATATTCCTAAGCACACAGCATTAAGTTTACGCCCCCTCCAAAAATATCAAATCAAAATTGGGTTGTTAGAGAAGTAAGAAGGATCTGGGAGGAGTTGGGAAAAAGAAAATATAATGATCATAATATATAATTTAAATTTTTAATGAGTTAATTACAAGAAACATTTACTGCAAGTACCTAAAAGGAAAAGCTATTTAAAGATGTGTTTCAAAGATGGAAATAAAATTGATCAAGTATCTCAGAAAAGTGATTGTGGAATGTAAGGAAAAGGTGATGGTAGAGACTGAGACCGAAGACAAGAAAAAAATTGTCCCAGTCTTCACAGTCACAGCCCGAGTGAATTGGGGTAGCAAGGAAGTGCTTAGAAATTATTATGGGAATACAATTTTTAAAAATTGTTTATGCACATAGATGTTTTGCCTAAGGTATATATGGCACCAAATGAGTGCCTAGTGCCTGTGGATGCCGGAAGAGGGTATCAGATCTTCTGGGATTGGGAATCCAGACAGTTGTGAATGCCACATGGGTAATGAGAATTGAATCTAAAGCCTCTGGATGAGCAGCCAGTATTCTTAACTTCTGAGTCACCTCTCTAGAACAAGGGAATATGCTTTCAGAATTCTCTAGAGGAACAGAAATTACAGAATGGTGTGTGTGCCTGCGTGTGTATGTGTCTGTGTTTATGGGGTTTATTAGAATGGCTTACAGGCCGTGGTCCAGCTAGTCAAACAATGGCTGTATACCAACAGAAGGTCCAAGAATCCAGCAGTTGCTTAGTCCATGAGGGTGGACATTGCAGCTGGTCTTTGGTATGTGCCAGAATCTCAAAGAAGTAGGCTCTAATCCAGTGAAGAAGTAGACTCGGTAGTGAGAGTAAGGTCAGGTAGGTGAAGAGGAAGAGCTTCCCTTTCCCATGTCTTTTTAATGGGCTTCCATAAGAATGCATTTCTCAGATTAACGATGCATCTCCCCACCTTAAAGATCTACATTAAAGATGTATCATTCCGCAAAAGAGCCAGATTAAAATAGGGTCTTCTACTTCAAATGATTTAGTTAAGAAAAAAAAAATCCCTCATACATGTTCCTAGCCACTGATCTTAGTTAATTTCCAGTGTAGTCAAACTGGCAACAAAAACAGCCATCACATATATGAATAATAATTATCAATGTCAGACAGTCACTCCATCTAAAATCTAAACTGATTAAGAGATGATCAATAGATATAAGTAGCTCCCAAGAGACAGCTAGTAAAAGATACACAAATTGAACAGAAAAAAAAATGAAGTCAGATACACCAGCAGATTATAACTGTAAGGGAACTGACATAGTTATACTAATATCAGAGAAAGCGGGCTTTCAAATTAGCAACTTTATTGATGACTATGATGGTTAGTATTGGTGGTCAACTGAACAGGACCTAGAATCACCTTGAAGGTGAACCTCTGGACATCATCTGTGTGAAACGTATGATAACTGAAGTCGGAAACCCCTTGTAATTGTGGGTGATAGCATTAGTTAGGGTCTTAACTGCACGTAACTGTGACTGAAAATATACTATAGCCAGCTTCTTCAAGCTGCTAGTGCCATGACACCCCACTT